TAACCTTAATACAAGAAAATCTCAAGTCCTTGAGAAATGTATGGATCACATGTATTCTTGAGTGTTTTTCTCAAATATTCATTAGTCAAATTTCTCACAGGTCCAATCAAAGCTGGAGTACCCATGCTGTTGAAGAAAAATTCTCATGCTGTGGCTATCAGGTGCACAGGTGACATTGTTTTGGAGTTTAGGATATTGAATGCAATTTCTCATGGGGGGAGAAAAGATTTATTTTACTTAGGAAATAACTTAGTCTTGTTCAAGAGTTTAAACAAATCTCAGCTGACTAGTTTTGTAAAATGTCATATTACAGAAATTAATTTCGTCTGGAAAAATGTGAACATATTACCAGTTTGTACCTTTACCAGAGAAACCTTAAAATAATCTTCGTGGCACTGTCAGGTGATTAACGAAGCTGAAGAGAGAAATCTGGGGCCAGGACGCCAATCTAAGGGACTTGAGCTTGTCGGGTATTCATGGGAACCGCTGAAAATATTTCCTTCCTCTGGCAGTGATGTGAGGAACGGCTCAACGTCAGGGAAGATGAGGTAGGGAGCGTGAGGTAATAGTCTTTTCCTAGAGTGACAGCCATGACTATATTTAGACATTGATGCCACTGACAAAGTAGAATTGACAGGAGGTGTTGAGAGGCCACATGTAGGGAATGGTTGGGGAATCCCTGGCTGGCGTAGGGAAAGGCAGCCAGCCCTGAGGAAAAACTTACTACAGGAGATAAAGCCAGAGCTAGAACTCTGGTCTCCTGGTTCCCCCTCCAATTCCCTTTCTACTACAGGTATGGCCTGATGTAGAGTGTTCAAGCTGGTCTGAACGAGCAGCCTCAGCAGGCAACTTGATATGGCGTGACAAAAGCTCAGTTAAATTACTTTGAGGGTTTTTTTTTTCTTTATACCATGGTTATACCTCTTTTATGCTAATTAACTTTGATCTTGGGCAAATCATTTGCCTTTGACACTTTGTACACTTTTCTTTCAATGTATTTCTTTAGTTAATATTGCAGATATATTTATTGTCTCCCACAGTAAATAACTTTTGAGGGCAGGGATGTGGGTAACACTATATGGATCTTTTACCATTGGCTGTTTATAATACCCAAGAAGTTTCTCTGTAAAATGGTGTCAAATTAATGAATATAAATAGCGTGAGCCACCTGTTAGAAACAAAATGAAGTGTTAAAAAAAATACCAATGGAACCCGAACTGTTTACATTAATTTAGGCTATCAGGGAAGCATCTCCACCTTTTATGAGGCCTCTGATGACTTAAGAACATTGTCTAACATTCACAAGTACCTGAGAGCCACAGCCGTATTATACTTTATTACAAGAGAAGAAAATGTCCCATTTCACAGGAGACCCCTTCCCCAGGCTTTTCTTCATCCTCCCTCCCAAAGATTTCATATGGCGGCAATGAAGGGCCAAGGAGACCCTAAGAAAGGCCTTTCAGTTTTAAAGTTGACACACAGTATGGCTTGGCTTGGTTTCTGTACTTTCAATAGAGAAAAATGTACACTATATATTCACATTTCAGCTTTCCTCAACCTCTGGTGACTGCTATTACCAGTGTTCAGTCCTTACTCCTGTGCAAACTACTTCCGGCACTTACGGGAGGCAGGCAGTCCACAGAGGACAGTTTTTGGACTTGTAGGGTTCTCCCTCTACTATACTCAGCTTCAGTACGACCCATAAGCTCTTGCTCCAGCCACCCTGCCAGCGTCCCCGCTTTCTGGGCACCCTTAGGTCACTGGCTTCGGCATAAGCGGGTAGGATAGCAAAGCCAGCAGAAGAAAAGCGAAACTAGGGAAGAGAGGAGAGGTCATAATGACGGGGCAGAGACTCATGAACATGGAGATGGCTTTTCTAAAACGTGGTTTGCAAAATGTCTTTAGAGGCAATTCCAAAAGACAAGTTTCAAAAATGTTCAAAGCAATAGTAGCGTCACTACAGTAAGAGCATGGATCACTAAGGGTGCCATTTTAAAGGATAATAATCACTTGATTCTATGAGTTATGATAGATTTGTCTTTAAAAAAGTTTATTTTTTTTAATCAAATATAAAATGCACTGCTTAAATGATGGCTATAACCCATGAACATAAGGAAACTTGTAGGATGTGTGGGTGGGCTAGAAACACTTTTCATTTTAGAGTCTGAGGACGTATGTACTTCTGCCTCGGCCCCCATTAAAAACTTTGAGGCTGCTTTGAGGAAAGAGATTAAAAAAAAAAAAGTGCAAACAAATGGCACATGTGACTTCAAAGTAACCCTGCCGTACAGAGTATGTGGGTATTTGGGTGAAACGGAATGAATGGCCCACCTCAATTTTATATACAGAAGCAGATTAGTATGAGAGGAATGGAAGTTTTTGCAGTTCAACAGACCTAGTTAACATCTTGGCTTCCCCCATGTGTAGTTGAATAACCCTCTGCAAATTATTTAACTTCTCTGAGACTCAGTGCCCTTACCTGTATAATGCCTAGTGAAGTCCCTGGCAAACAGGAGATAGTCAATGAACATCAGTTCCCCTATAAGGGTGTTTTGTTTTGTTTTGTTTTCAAACAAAGGGCCTCAACTGATTGGTAGATTATGAAATCAATTGGGTAGGTTGCAACCAGCATATTTTAAAAACTGAAAAAAACAAAAACAGAATTACCATTAGTGCACTGCACATAATGGTAAGTATTGTTCCATCATGTATATGCTGAGTTTTGATTTAAGTGCATTTTTTTACCGTGGGTCACAACCAAAATGTTTCAGTCTCCTCTACAGAGAAGTTACCAGAGTGTAATATCCAATGAGTTTAGGAGTGCTGCCTTTATGCAGACGAGCCTCTGTAAACTTTAAGAACTTATTCCAAGTTCTTCTAACTTGTTGCAGTGAAAACAAGACATAAATCATAGAGAAGATAAATTTAGTCTGATACTGTAGGACATTAAGTTCAATTTTAAGACTGGTTTCTGTGTCATATTGACTAATTTATACTCCTAACCACTTTATAGATCACAGGTCTATTACTTATAGTTGATTAAACACTTCTAGAAATTTCTACAAAAAGTTGGCTATTAGGTTCCAGTATGGGAAAATTAGATACAATTTCTAACTAATTTTAAATTAGGAAATTTCTTTAAAGAACTGTAACTTGCCTAATCATGAAGACTGCTAGAGCAATATTCCAATGCTGTTATAAAAATCAAAGGCCTGTGTGAGCACAGACAGTTGTATCCCATCATGCCTCAGTAAAAATGAGAGCTCCCAAAACACAACGTGACCTTCAGTACAGGCCTCCTTTCTCCTTCAGGTCCCGATGTAAAGTCAGCCTGACAGTACCAGGAGTCCCTCCCTCGTTGTGTTAAGATCATGGGCTAAAAAGCATAGCCCAGTTTTGGGATGGCAGAGTGGGAATATTATGCAGTGATGAAGATTGGGCCATGTTTGAGGGTAGAATACTAGTAATTATGGAATTCAGTGATCCTGTTGAATCTTGATGTAACTATACTTTCAATTTATAATTTTGGCTGACCAGGTCAGATTGGCCATTATTAGCATCGCCAATAAAGGGGATTGAAGCTTAGGACTCTTGTTTTAAATATGCACCCCAGTGATTCTGATCCTTGTTCTGGTTGAAACATCCTGTGCTAAAGGGACAGCAAGGATCAGAAAAAAAAAAAAAAAAAGGTGGAGTTCACAAGTAATTATCCCAACCTTACAATATCAAATACTGGATCAGAATCTGACACGTATTCAAAGTACTTCCTTCTTGATATCACATCAAAGATACAAGTCGGCAATACAGTACTTGATGTTTTCTAGTTATTTAATGGCAATAAGAAACGGTGCTTTCTCTCTTTGGAATTCATTGGTAAGTCAAAAAGTATGAAAGACAAAGGTCTCCAGATTAGACACAGAAGTAAAAGGTAGCAATCAATAAAAGTTATTAAGAGTAAGCAGCAAAAGAGAAGTGATAAACCATTCAACTGCCCAATCAATCTGACTCCTGAGCAGAGAAAGCTCACACCTGATGTGGAACAGGTACCCATTCCTCTATCCTCAGAGAAGAGTAAAGAGTAAGGCAACAGGTGGCTCCTTCCTGTCTCAAATGAGCTGGGGTACAGAATGAGGCTTCCTATAATTTGAAATTCTTTTTTTTCTAAATTTAAAACCTTTTTGCTATTTGGGATAATTTGGCTGGGCTGTGCCATGCTTGCTGTCAATGTCAAGTGTTGGGATTAGCACCACAAATCCTTCATCAGGACCGAGTCTTGGCACGAGGCTTTGTGCATCATCATCTTGAATGTGAGAAAAGGCAAGCATGAATGCCATTCTTGGGAAGAAATAGCAGCTGTGAGAAGTGAAGGAAAGCATAGGAGGCAGCAAAGCCTGGGGAAAAGGGTGGCAGTAACAGAAGTGAGGTAGAAAGCTAGTTCTTAGCTTCACCAAGGGCGGGCTGGCTGGGAAGACTTGGGGTCAGAGATTCCCCGTGTGGCAGGTACATCAGCCCCTTGAAACTGGAGGATGCCCCGAGAAATGATGTGGTATTCCCCACCCCTGCTTATTTTTTAGCTCTAACTCTAACAATGTTAGAAATATTTGGAGATTTCCCTCTCTCTCTCTCTCTCTCTTCTCTCTCTCTCTCTCTCTCTCTCTCTACGTAGAGGTTATAGGAAAGGATGAATAGAGATGGGAGACAACACAAAAAAGCAGATTACGAGAAAAGCCCTCATTATATATATATATATATATAGGTAAAATTCACCCCATAAATCAGAGAACTTTTCAAAATTACAAGGGAAGGAGGGGCCGGCCAAGTGGCTCAGTTGGTTAAGAGCTCGCTCAAGAGTTTGAGCTCTGAGCAACAGCGGTTCGAGTCCAGCCCGAGCTGAGCAGCCGNGGGCCGGCCAAGTGGCTCAGTTGGTTAAGAGCTCGCTCAAGAGTTTGAGCTCTGAGCAACAGCGGTTCGAGTCCAGCCCGAGCTGAGCAGCCGCTCAGCAAAAAAAAAAAAAAAAAAAAAATTACAAGGGAAGGAAAGCAGAGGGTACTAGATCTTTGAGGTATTAAGATACAGGTTGACAGCGTGAGCTTGGCGATTGGCTTAGTAACACTGTCTCCTACCACTTCGGATTCTTTATCTAAAGAGAGGAAGAGTTCAGAGAAGGAGCCGGTGTCACAGATTAAGGTATTTGAAAGAGAAGTTGGGCCTTTCTTTCCATTTTCTTACGCTGTTAATTTCCTTCGCCAGCAAATATATTGTAGATGGACCACAATGCAACGGGGCTCACCAAACGGGCTCCGTTCCGCAGCTCACTGTGCCCTCCCTAGACTCTGATTTCCCTATTTGATAAGGTCTTGAACTCCCATTCTTTGCTAACGGGCCTAAATACGCCTCTATTTAGGAGATAAATAAGCATATTTATAATATGCGAAGCCTTAGGGTCTCCAAGTCTGGGTTAGGAAAGAAACTATTCTTCCATAACCCAACGTGTCCATGCATCTCATATCCTTATTGAAGTTCATGGGTTCAGTTTTCACATGTCCAGGCAGAAAATCTGCTCCCTGGCAGTCTTTAAACTTTACCTGACGAACACCCTCAGCCCAGGCCCTTCAATCTCTACCATCTCCATTAACACCCCAGCAAACAACAAAACGCATCCACTTATCACAGCTCCACCCCGCTGGAGCATCTACAGCCACTATCTGAATGGAATCACGTTCCAAATGCTGACTGAGTGTCCAACAGCAGCAAAGGTCTCATTAGGATGGACGTGTTGGCACCAACAATCCTTAAGTTTGGTTTTTAGCTGCATTTTTTGTCAGTTTGGCTGGGAAGATCTGGACAGCTGGAAGTGAGCTTCTCCATCATTTTCTGTTTCTTTCTTTGTATCAATTTTCCACCTGTGAAGCCCAACACCCCGCCACCAAGTGCAGCTGCAATTCCTGCCACTTTGAAGCCTGCAAGGAGGCCAAGCGGACCTCCCACCACTCCTCCGATGAGTGCACCTGCCACAGGCAGAGCTGCCAGCTTGTATTTTGCAGCCTGTAAAAAAAAAAAAAAAATTCAATTTAGAAATTGAGTTGAGAATATCTGCCTGTGGTGATGTGCATTTTTCTTTCATTACTTCTGGCAATGCCTCTTTAACTCCTGGTACATAATTAACCTTCGAGATTGTATTCGGGGGCGGGGGGAGAGAAAGTATTGCACAGGTACTACAATGACTCCGGATCTCAGGATTTAGAGAAATGGGCTACAAAGAGTGGACTGCGATAAATTGATTTTACTTGGGAAACAATCAATCCACTAACTATGTAGCTGGCTTAGACAGTTTTAGCAGCCACAGATACCCCAAAGCTTTTATGTTGCACAGAGATTATTCCACGCTCTATACCTGGGGTTAAAAGCAACCTTCTATGGAGAATAGATGGCCCCACTCTACACTGCTGTCATGTTCTCAGACTTTTGACCCTGCTGGACTCTGGCAACCCACTCTACGCCTCTCACTGAACCTCTGCAGATAGCCCATTGGAACGCCAAATGCCTTATGTTATGGTGAGGCTTTGGTTTGCTCTCGCTCTCTGAAAAAATGTCTCTGCTGACAGAATGAAGAGTAGAATACTGGAACAGAATATTACAAAAGCCATTGATTTCTTGCACTACCTGTGTCATTTCTTCCTTATTTCCTTAATTGCTGGTTCCCTCAATGTTAGAGAGAGCAGATCAATTGGGTTAATACTGCATATTCCTGGGAGTCAGAGGACCATTGATTTGTCAGCGGGAGCAGAATCTTACCTTCCCCAAGTTTCTGGTTCCCTCCTCAACATTCACAGCAGAACTGTTGACATGGTCTTCAATGCTGTCAATCTTCTCCTGCTGAGACTAGATGCAAAGGAATTATGAGTGTGCGGTCCTGCTGGGGAGCAGCGGAGAGCCAACACACACTATTTTAATTCCTGTAATCAGGGCCATGTACTGCAGCCTTGCAGTCTTAATAGCAGTTCATGAATAGCATCTGATAAACCAGGTCCTAAGTACAAATTCACTTGTATGAAAAAAAAGAGCGTGACTTAATTATTAGGTAATAAAACGGTGGCACCCTTACAGGAAAAAGCATATCACACTAAAATTGATTCAAACATGCAAGCATGTTATTCTCCAAGTGAATCCACTTTCCAAGAGAGGAAAAAAAAAAATCCAAATAAGCATTTACATGTCATGTTGTGTTTGATAGGAAAAAAACACAAAATCCACACAAAAAAACACCTCCCTAACTTATTTTCTTTGAAGAGTCAGTTTAAAACAGGCAAATCTGCCTTAGGAATAAAACACCCTTGATCCAATAAATACAAATTATTATGTTTTAGGAATAAGAATACAGCATGTGCCATGAAATCTTTCCACGTGTGATATGCAGTAGGGAGCAGAGAACGAATTTACTGTCCTGCGTTTTACACCAATACAATTTTAATACATTTTAAAATCATGACACCTTAAATGTTTCAGATCAACTAGAATAAATCATTCTACATAAAATGGAAACACCTACAGCGACACAACAGAAATCGTGACTCATGAAGTGTCTGGGCAGAAGGAATGTTAGAAGGAAAATCAGAGTGGGGTTTCCCCTCCGATGTGTGCAAGTCCCACTGCAACGCTGCTGACAAGCGGTTACCAAGCCGCTGCTCATGCACCTCCAGCGACAGGACTCCCCTTTTGCCACAGGAACATAGTCCCATTTGTAAATCAATTTCATTTAGACAGAATTTACATACAATAATATGCACCCATTTTAAGGGTATCATATGATGAGTCTGACAACTGTATAAACCCATGTAACCACTATCACATCAATATATAGAATATTTCATTTTTGTTTAATTCACAGAAAAAAAGGGACTCCTTCTTTGACCCAGCTAAATGCCACCTTCTACAAGGATTGTGAAATAATTCAACTTTAATCCCAAAGTATTTGATTGCCTGTGTAACTGACCTCTTCACTTATACTGAAGCAGATATAACACTCTTCTAATTTCAATCATCACTTTGTTTGAGGTCATGAAGCCCAAAACACAGCTAATTTCCCCCCCACAGTTGCTTCCTGTCAGCATTACTGCCACTCCTTCCCTTCTCATACACCAAGTATGTACCTTTTTGCTGCTAGACGTTTCAAGGTATCCCTTCATTCTTATATTTTCCACCGCTATCTTGACCTCCCCAACACAATCCCCAAAAAAGTCTTTTATGGGCCGGCCGAGTGGCGCGATGGTTAAGCGCTGGTTTGGGACGCCAGAGGGCCCCGGTTCGGATCCCACATGTGAGGGCCAGTGACGCTGCCCTCTACAGCTAAGATGCAGAACAACAGCTCAACCTGGAGCTGGGCTGCTGTGAGTCACCGGCGAAGGCGTAGGCTGCAGCCCCTGTGGCAGTGGGTTGCCATGGGCTACCGTATGTAGCCAGCAGCCAGCATGAGCGGCCAGCAGCCGCTGTGAGCAGCCATCCAGAAGCCGGCGACTGATCTGCCTCGCCTGGGAAGAGCGCAATGATGGTGCCAACTTGGGCCAGTGAAGCAAC